GTGATTTGCATTTAAAATTATATGGGACTATAGGTAAGTAACACAACGTGGGTCATCCATTATCTCTGTGCGCTAGTCATACATGTTTGCATGTTTAAACTCACTCAGTAAGCCGTCTCACTGCATTCTGAGTTTCTTCATCTTTTATCTCAACAAGCCATGCATTTTTTCCTTCACATACAGACTTGGCATCATTATATCTCTTTCCTTCGTCAAATAGTTCCAATCTATAGTTTCGAAAATCTAATGTACCTGAACAGTAAGTGTAATAAGGATTTAAAAACTGAAATAATGAGAAAACACACTTTCGCTATGTGACGCCATATAAGTTTATTCAAACAGTCACAAATAATAATAATCTTACACAATATTTGTACGAAAGAAAGAAGTTAGATGTTTGCATTGCAATGAAGAACATATGTTTCACAACGTTGGATAGAAGTTAGCTTCATAGCATGTTTAGAGGAAAAATGTAGAGGTTCACTTACTTTTCAGAGTTTGTGTTTGAGTCTGACTAAACAAAGAAATCCAAATCAATAAAAACCACATATTAGTTTATTCCTATACTATAAATATATCTTTCACATTTACATTATTTGTTCTACTTGAAAAATAAAAGTTCATAACAAATTAGCCATTTATAAAACTGTGTTTTTGTAAATAGTATCTTGAGTCCGATAGGCAGCTCCCATGCAATATAAAACTGCTGTGACCAGTCAGTCACCAGTGGTTTGTTATGAAATTCAGATTTTTATGGAATAGTAGATTCAGACAATCTACAGACCCGATAAGCTAGTCAACGTATTTTTAATTTTCCTTCCTGAATGCGTTATGATTTTTAGGAAGGTGGAACCATCGTCATTGCTGTTACCGGCATGCATATATAGTTCAAAATAATAAAATGCCATGAGTTCACATGGTGCTATCGAGGTTTCCGGAAGGTAATCAGTGCGTAGGTCTAAGAAATCAATCTTACGCATTTACGAAATAGTACAGAGTTGAAGTAATGATCATTAGGAACGTCACTGAAATGATTCGTTGGGACAAAAAATCATAATATTAGGAACGATTCAATTGATTCGGGGATGTTTCATTCTATCATAATAATTCAAATCTTTAAATCATTCAATGTGGGTTTTCAAGACCACGGTAAAGTAATACTCGGTAAGGTAATGTACCATATCGTTTATCTGTAGACCACAATCGGAGTTCGGGATGATAAAACCCAATGTCACGACATATATACGACTCCGTGAGTTATCTGCAATTTTCGATCGCCGAGATAATGGGGCATGAATTTGTAAGCGTATAAAAGGGATTCAGATGAATATTGCTATTCTTATATAATTATCTTATAAATGGTGTGAAGCATTTGAGTCGGCTTTAAACAATTTTCACTTTTTCAAACTTCCAAGGATTGTTGTTTCTTATGCAAATTGTTATTTTCATGATTAAAGTTATTTTCAATGAAAACGCGATTTTTAAACATGATTTTTTCCATCTACAGCTTTCTTAGACATAGTTATTTTTCTTGCTTTCTGGCTATAGGCAATTGCAGGTAATAAGCCCTCAAGATAAATAGGTAAATTTTAATCAGCAGTTCCATCACAAAATCTTACAAAAATGGGACACTGCAGCAAACTTTCGTAATACATAGTCCTGGGAATTTTCGCTGGTATAAGTTACAATGTTCATCGACTGTACTGACTATTTACTTATACGACTACTCATACAATAACTTTTTGTAAATGATGTCAACGCGATAAACAGTACTGATGTGGGTGTTGTAAGAGGAAATATGAGTTGTATATACATATGCTTCTATGTGCATACCTGCACAATATATTATACTACACCAGCGTCTCCTAACTTTTTTGGTCGCGGACTATTTTCTAACTGGCGAAAACTTTTGCGGACTCAAAGTGCGTTTATTGCAGCCCTACTCTATGAGAAGAAGCAATCAAAAGCGATTGTGCCCTCGTTAAAAAAGCCGAGGTTTTTAGTGTATAATGGCCGTTTTCGTCGCACAATATTCAATCCATGACAACGACGAGAATTTAAAATGTTTTCTATTTTAATTTATTTGTGTTCATGGTCGCCGTTGTGTTCAACTCGCGGTTGCGTCGACTTACGACAATATGAAAGCATTACTTCTTTAAAATGCCACGGCAATCTGCGAACATAATAATGTGAGAATAATATTGCCCGATTATTACTTTTCGATTTTAATCGGTAAGTATGTTGATAGGTATTTGTCTGTCTGTGTGTTTGACTGTTAAATGAACGCGATATCTCACGAAAGCGAGATTGAATCTGCTCCAGATTTTGCATGTGCATTCATCATATGTTGTACCAGAAGCCTATTGATCTTGGGCAAATTATGTTGTATAATTAGCGAGTTATTAATTAATTAGTGATGGGGCACAAGGTGTCACTATGGATTAAGAGCGCTGTTTTGGGTGATCCCCTAACTTTCGATCGATAAGTCTTCGGTCTCTGACCGAATTCTCGTATTTAGTTTTGATACATATTTTTCGCGATCTTGCGAATTTGTTATCGCCGTTAGAAAAATTCTACTAACTGCTATAAAGTTCCAGAAAGTACAACTTGATTTAGCACTTATTTAAAATATATTCAAAGTATATTAGTAAATCAAAGATACATATTCATCGCCTTTCTTTAATATTAATTTAATTGTGATGATTTTAATCTGCAGTTGTGTTGACGAAATAAAAGCAACGTGTGGTAAAGTGCGCGATTATATTTTATTTTGATTCGTAATTTTGTGAATTCGACAAATCTTAGCTGTTCGTACAAATACAGCGCGGGTCACTCGAAAGGTTTCCGCGGGCCACATATGACCCGTCGGCCACGGGTTGGACGACACTGCAATATATTAATGGTAGTCTCTATATTTTGCCAGCAATCTGCACCATCCCTAATTTGCAATTTCTCAAATGATCGACAGCTCGGAGTAATATTTCTCGAGTTTCAATCCCTCAATAGGATTGATATTTACCGAATAATTTCCGGTCCTTCCTGCCTCGCCACTCAAACAAAGTAAATATACCTAATTGTATATATATATATTGAAATTTGATCAAACCAATTTTTCAGAATGAGGACAACTCTACTATCCATATTTTGATTTTGTTCAACTAATTGATGATTTTGTCTCTCGTGTTTTTTGATAGCGATTGGTCACTCATTCTGGTTGTTCGTGCGTCAGTGTTGTGGTTCAAGGATTAAATTTTTATTTACTGACTGTGTCTAAATATACTCCTGAGGTGTTTTGCATGCAATATACATGCAATATTTACTTAGGAATAAATACACTATGGTATTCTGTTATTATGATAAATTGGGATGACGTACCGGCACTGACTGGCAGGATACAGGAACAATGTATGAGTGGTGTATCTTTTGCATTTAACAGTTACAGAACGATATCACAATTCAGTTGCTTTACTTGGACAATCTTATCGCAAGTTTATACAATGGCTTTATGACGGGTGCGTGGTCATTTGCAGTGTTTCCGTACTAATTTCGAGTTTTTTCATCAAAACTTAGTTTCATATAAATTTATGCGTGATATCGTGGATTTTGTGAAATGTAGTACCGCAAGTACTATAGTACGGTTGACCCAATTATTTCGTTTCAAAAGGTCCAAAAGCGTCATAAGAGCCCACTTGTGTAAGTCAACTCAAGTTTAATTTTCCAAAAATTCCAAATTCTATTTTCAAACAAATTAATTTTACACAAATTACAAGAAAGAAATTAATTACACAATTTTACTGGGATAGGAAAGCCGTTCGGAACTAAATCTTATCGAGCAGCGATACCCAAGGTTAGCTTATGGTACCTCATGGTTTTAGCGATTTGTCCAACTAACATCTCTATCTGGAGATAGACAATTATTGGAAATTATTTAAAAAAAAAACATCTGACCACCAGACTCCGTATTCCCCACTTCAAATGGATTTATTAAAGTAAAATTGCTCCCGTTGTCAAAATCATTTGGGAGATTTTGAAGGTGACATACACGTGATTATAATGTTGAACTAGAGCTGCGTGCAGCTTTAACAGGCTTCCCGCGTAAAAAATACTGAAGACGCGTTTTGCTCACTGGAGCGTGAAAGCGTGGTCAGTCATGCATAAAATTTGCAATTTATGATGGGGGACTTATTATCTGCATGTGATTCAAATTTCAAGTCTCTAAGTATTGTCGTTCTCGAGAAGAAGATGAAAATGTAAAATCCTATATTGCTCACTGGAGCGTATCGCCGAGGTCACTCATGCGTATCCTTGACATATCGTATCCGGAACATGTCCATTAATCATTGTTATGAATTTCAACCCAATAGCATGTATCAATTTTAAGAAATCGCGAAAAAACTGAAAACGCGTATTGCTCACTGGAGCGTGAAAGCGTGGTCAGTCATGCATAAAATTTGCAATTTATTATGGGGACTTATTATCTGCATGTGATGTAAATTTCAAGTCTCTAAGTACTGTCGTTCTCGAGAAGAAGATGAAAATGTAAAATCCTATATTGCTCACTGGAGCGTATCGCCGAAGTCACTCATGCGTATCCTTGACATATCGCATCCGGAACATGTCCATCAATCATTGTTATGAATTTCAACCCAATAGCATGTATCAATTTTGAGAAATAACAAAAAAACTGAAAACGCGTTTTGCTCACTGGAGCGTGAAAGCGTGGTCAGTCATGCATAAAATTTGCATTTTAATGCTAGCTGAGAACTTCTGCACATTTGAGGTGAATTTCAAGTTTATAGGACCAATTTGAAAAAAAAAATAATAATAATAAATAATAATAATAAAACACAGGAATACAATAGGTTCCCTGCTGACAAGCAGCGGGAAGCCTGATTATTGATAGAAAATATGTAATGGAAAAATTCTAGTTCAAAAAGTCAAATATTATTGAGTTGATATTGTAGGCTTCATAATAATGAATGGTGACATTTGATCACAGCCGGTACCTTGAGTGACCTAAGATAAAAATTCAAGTTTGTAAACAATAGTCCAGCAATGTCAAAAAAGAGTTCATACAACATCATGACAATCCCTTGAGAGTCTCAATGAAATTATAAAGAAGTTTAACTTTACGCCAAGTCAACAAATTCGACTTTGAACTTTGATTCATCAAAGATATGATAGACTTTAGCAACGGATTTCAATGACATTCTAATCCGAGCTACCCACAGATCCACAAGGATATATTTATTGGGTGATATGGAAAGACGAGTGCTTGAGACGCAGTGAATCGGTGTCGGTTCAGATACATTCCCGATATTTATTGTTGGTTCATTAGTCAGCAAGATTTGTACGTTCGTAACTTTACTTGTCTTTGACATCAAATCCTGTGTAAATGATATAAATAATATTAATTGTGGTAATAATGATGATTGCTGTGTGTTTGACAATGTCAATTTTTTTTTCACTGAAGTTAATAATATTGACTACTTTTTAAATAAATTTATGTTATAAACCTTTTTCATTTGTTAGACAAAAATATTAAATATTTTTGAAAAGCAAAGAGGCAATTGATATAATTTTTTTGAATATTTTAATATTTATTGAGACAAACGTGTTAATGATAATATAAAGAATAAACTAAACACAAGGAATTACCTGAAAAAAATTCAATTCGTAACACCAAAGTGGGTCAAAATAATGAATTGACTTCAATGCGAACAGAAAGTTTTGACTGAATTCAAATATATTTTACATCACTTCTCAAACATGCGACACTTGACCTATTTTTTTAACCAATAAATTTGCGTCTCGTACTACAAAGATGCAAGTCTTGTTTATATGGTTCCAAAACACGCTACCGATATTATTGTTTTTATCACAAAGTGAGTATCACAAAGAGTAAATGAATAAATTTGATCATATTTCTGTAATAATGAAGTTCGTTAAAAAACTTTTTTAAATTATTATCAACGAATAATTAAAAAACAGATTGATCACAAAAATTATTTTATGGTAAAGTACTCTAACCAGACAAGTAAAAAATTATTTTTTCGATCTCAGGTTTCTGATACGGTCAACAAAATACTAAACAATAACATTTTATGAAATATAAAATAATCACCTCTAAATGAAGTTTGTATACACTTCCAAACTTGTGCTTTTCTTGATTCCATTTGATTGAAATTTCGGACTGGAAGCATGAAATCTGAGATATTCCTGTATTACAGAATACACGTAATTTCATGTCTTTAAAAGTGTTTATGATCATTGTACTTATTCTTAGGAGTTTTTTAATTACTATTCCTAAACAATATATATATATATATATATATATAAGATTTCATTTTCATTTTCTGGGCTATCAAATTTCGGACGATTTATTCAATTATTTTTAGACACAACCCTATTACTATCCGTATTCCCACATTTGGCAAATCCCCGCCATATTTTTGCACTAAAATCGCACAAAAATATTAGGTCGCTTGCAACATAAGATTATAGTCGAGTGGAACTTCTAAAAGTTCGAAGCGTAAAAAAATTAATTTCTTGAAAATACTTCTACTTGGTTTTTGTTAGATCGGACAGAACGATGGTTTTCAGTAGTAAATGAAGATAAAACTTACTTGTTTCACAATTTTCTCCAGTAAAACCCCACATGCATTTGCACTTTCTTTGACAACCAATTTGTATGCATGTTCCCGAGTTAAGACAGGGAGATGTTGAACATCTGTCAATGGCTGTAAACAAAAAAACCACTATTAATACCGGATTGGAGTACAGTTTCATATGCACACAACCTCTCATATATTTTTGTTTGAAAGAGGTCAAAGGTAAATCCGCAGCAGCAAAATGAAACTGATTGTAACATTCAATGCAGTATATATACACATATATTCAGTGGTTGAATTCAGTCGGTTTGCACCGGTTCATAGTACCGTCTCAAGGAATTTAATGAGATCATCGGACCGGTTAGCATGACTAAAAAATACATGTAACAGAACAGGCCGAAAAATATGACTTTTGTGATGAAACCGGCTGACAAAAAATATGAATCCCACCACTGCATATATTCTAATAATTCCAATAACGGATTTGATTGCAACGGGCTGAGATACTATGAACAGATCTAGGAACGCCGTTCTGTCATTGATCTGTGGCACAACAGACAAAGGATATATTTGGATATAACACAAAAGTGAGATATGCTTCCCGGCTAATAGAATAACATCATTAGATTTACAGCACACCCCTTCATATTACCTAATTAAAAATGTGTTTTCGTGCTACACAGTAAATGTTAGGTTAGCACCAAGGTATGTTGTTTTAAGAAAAACTATTAACATGATATTTTGAAATTATTTATCATTGCCAGGAACATTAGTGAACTATACCATCAGCTTTCTTGGGACTCTAGTTAAGTGTCAATCACGTAAAGTTGTGAACAGGCATTGTCAATATTAAAAATAAACCAATCTCAGCAACAAAACAAATAGATTCACTTAATTCTTCTTCGAAGCCCAACATTTCAAATTTGATCCATGAAAAACGTGTTCGAAGTATTTCAAGACATTGAATTTTTCTAGTAATAGTTATTTGTTATTGTGTGTTTTATCCAATTTTATTGTTAGGTGTGTTCAGGAATACCACCAACTGTTCAAAATGGGCGTGATACAATTTAATTTTTTAAACCTTGGCACTTATCTTCATTTGATTTTTTCACCCCTGATATAGAGTATAAATTATACGCAATTTATGAAGTGTGAATTGATAGCATTTTCTTCACCTTTGTTCTGATGAATTGAACTTCTGCGCAGAGAACAGGAGAAAACACGTGATGTGTGATTAAATATTTTTAATTTGCGTTAGAACTATTTAGTGATTACGAATTTGCACAATACTTTTAAAGAGTTGACTTTGGAACGAACAGGAAACAAATGGTAAGAATCGCACAGAACTGAAGTGACATACTTTGGTTCATTCGAGAATTTTTATATTTGTTCCACGCAGAATTGGCAACTTCATTTTCCCAAATTTTCCATAATAAAATATTTATTTAAATTTTATTTCCTATTAGGTTATTTTATTATTTGAAATATTTTTTGTATCTTAACACTGATCCACAGAAACTTGGGACATAATACAGTACACATGCCTTTTATTTTTGGAGATTGAGATTTTAGTAAAAATAAAAAATACGTTAGAATCTGCTGACACATAGAATTGTTTCATTCAAGTATCAAGATACAAATAATTTTTTGTGAAAGTATGTTATATTAACCTATTTCCACTCAAACAAGCGTACGAATAAATGTGTTGAACTTACCCGGAACCTCGCAAACATATCCCTTTGAAGAGCCGTCATCATTAAACCACTTCATATTATTCCTCGTTGTTGAATAGGAACTCATAAACAAATATCCATTTCCTTGGCTCACCGAAGACCACGCCCACTTGTTATTGGTAATGGGCGTATCGTCAACCCACAACCAATCAGTATTTGGTTTGTAAGCTCCAATCCAAATGCAATTGTGCCTCCTTCTTTGCCATATTGATCTATTATTTGACTTTCAACAAAATCTTGTATTGCGTCTGTTTTCATCATCGCGACTGTTCCACCAAGACTATTGCAAGTTGTATTTGCGTCACCGAATGTTTTCTTTTTGTAAAAGTTGACGTGATATTTGCAATTTTTATTAAGGTTATACGTTGGTTCTACAAAATAAAATTTTAAACTTAAACTGCACTTTGTTGATTGTTAAAAACAACTATTTCATATCAATGTTTCAATGATTGCATCAGAATTGTAAATACTAAAAATTGAGTCGAAATAACTATTAAAACTACACCAAAATGCAAAATATTTTCTTTATTCAATCTCGGTTATGCATCATTTATCACTTCAACGCGTTATAAATGTATATAATTCAACAAGGGATTATATATTATTTACCTTCACACGCAGTGCCATTGTATTCTGGCCGACAAGTGCAATTGTAATATGGCTCTGCAGTCGTATATTGACAGGTGGCCCCATTATTACAAGGTGATGAATCGCAGGCATCTACAAATAAAGTTGATCAAATATTGACATTTACGCTGTCCTACTTGTGATTGATAATAATTTTAAGATTGTAACGGCAAAATTTATTGTTTATTTTTTAAACAAAAATTATCGTATACTGCCACACACTATTTTTAAATAAAAACGTAGATACACTATTTTCATAAGACATCACACATTTCTTAACCATGGACACATTTTAGAAAGCTGCAGCCGATATTTATCAAAAAAATGAAAAAAGCCGTCGCAAAAAACTTAGACTTGAGATCGAAAGTGAAAAATCGTTTTGGCTAAATATTATTAATATTAAATCATACAAAACACAAAATTGAACAGTTTGTAATTATCATATAAATTAATACAACCATACCTTCTGATGTTTATAGCATTGTTTGTATCGTTGCATATGTAGACAAAATATGCCTTGTAAAGCAAATAAAGTTTGCTTTTATACATACCATTAACTACCAATGTCAGAACAACTACTCTCGAGTAAAGATTGTTTCCCTTGGGACCAGCTTCAAACTTGTACAAAATAGTTGTCGATAAAACTTCTATGGGACCAATGTTGATTGTCAACGTAGTTGAAGGATTGCTGCTACTGATATTGCTGGTCGTAACGGTTTTAGTTTTTACGTTATTCTGATTTCTAACGTCAACAGTAACGTTTCCATCATATGATGTAATGTCGAGTTGAACATAGATGCTTTCTCCACTTTTCAAACGTCTTGTTTCACTCGTTGTAGAGATTGAGATAAGATCTTTACAATTTATTAGATAATTGAATAATTAATGCTATAATCGTTATTGACATATGACTTATCTTTTACCGTTGAAATATATTACTTATACATAAAATTATCACGTTATGTCCTTATTAATCAGTCTGTGAATCCATGTAAATACTTTATTTGAATATTCAAACATGGCTAAGATAATATTAGTTAAAAATTCTACGAATCCCCAACAATCGTGATTTAACTGATAAAGGTGAATTGATATGAAATGCACGATTTGACCGTGAAATAGCTTTAACTAGATCATCTGTTAGAATTATTACGCCTTCTTGCCATTGACGTGAGGTTGTGAACGGATACATTTCAATTTCTAAATCAAAAGTGAGAACATAATAATACTGATGAATCAATATTATTATGTTATGATATATATTTATTTAAAATTTATTTTTTGAAAGGTTCCAGCTTAGTTTCTGTGGATAATATAAAAATATGTTTTAGATTTCTGGAAAAACTGAGCCGCAAGAAATCTTAATATAAAAGGTAAAAAAAGAATATCATAATATTCATAGACGCAATGTCAAAGTTGAAATATTGCGGAAAACGATGGAATTTCGCATTCCATCAAATTATGTGAGCGAAATAACTTCAACAAACAAAATTGAGTTAGATTTAAATATTACTTTGATATCGTTATTATTACAGACCATTTGAATCTTTCTATCAATAGATCTAATAAGAGTAATATAATTTTGTAAAAAGTTCCAATGATTATAATTCCAGTTTACAAAGATCACAATATTATGTCAATTTATTTCAAACAAAAACTCGCCTTTTTCGCATTTTGTTCCAAAATACCCCGCATTGCATGTGCATGTATACCGTGAATTCTTAACCTTGCAGCTTCCCTTGTTTAGGCACACATCACTACCGCAGTTCCCAGATGACACACCTGGGAATATATATAAATATAGATTATATGTAAATATAATATTTGCTGAATATGTACAACCCTTCAACGACCAACTTAAACTTTTGCATGGACAAAATATAATTGTGATAATTTGCTTAATATTTCAAATAGGTTTATTGAATCTGTAGATAATAAGATAAGATTTCTGACATATATAAGCAGCTTCTGCTGAACAACTTGCATCAATCCATTTATAATTTGCCCCGGCATATTTCATCAAACAGTTTTCGTTTGTTCCCCCATTTGGCTCGTCCCATTCTGTCCACCTCATCCTAGACTCGCAAAATGAAAAATTATCAGATATACGCGTTTATTCTACAAGTAAAGTAAAAAAATAAATTTCCTCGTATCAATTTTTATTAAGTATAAAAGCTTCAGTAATAACTTTCACTCTATTTTGAGGCTTGAATTTATGTGGCAGCGTAGTTGATTTTGACAATTTCATTTTTAAAAGCGCAACAATATATACAATTATTTTTTCGAAAGTATGAAATACTAGAGACATTGATATTATATATATATATATATATATATATATCCATTTGAACAAATACAAACTTTACTTTGGGGTAAACATGCAACTTCAGGGAAAAAATAAACCACTTATAATTGACGAAATCAATGTATTTAGTTGGTAAATATAAATTATACAGTAAACACGTGACACACAAAATCGAGTGTTACGAAGATGGTTGTATCTGCGCGCAATGCTTGTAATCAGTAGTTGCACAGTTTAAGTTCACACGTATTGCGATAAGTTGTTTCACGCTTTGGACATTTATAGCCGAAGTGAGAGTTTAGTGAAAATAATTGAAGCTTAGCGCTCGACGGGTTAAGTGTATAACAGAAGCAAATGCCAACAAGTGAATCCTTACTTTCTTTTTTGAATATTTAAACATGTTTGCTTGTTATTTGTTATACATACTGAGTAATAAATAATCAAATCACCAATTCTGATCATCTTTACCAAAAGCTGTTCCATCTCCCCATTTCCAATTGCCTTCTGTCTCTGAATCACTTCCACTTGTCCAGTAATTAATGGTTCCACTGAAAATTAAATGTCTACTCACACTTTACTCAATGATAGCTATCGTCGATTCGGGAATAAATTCTGCTTACTGATTGCTAGAATATAAGGCAAGAACGCCGCGAAGAAAAAAAAGCCGTGTGATTTGTACCTGGATTCAAGATAACTAATAGTAATTACCTCTACAATAATACTTACTTATGAGATAGTTTTGCCGTCAGAAATGAATCTAATGCATTAGTTGTGATAGAAACTAAGCTTTTTCCAATTGCAGTACAAGATGATATCGCATCAGCAACTGATTTCTTCGGACTGCTAATTATTGTTAAAGCCAAGTTACTGTTATAAAGGGCCCAGGTAAGATCTGAAAACAATAATAAATTTTGGATAGAAAAACGCAATTCTTTTTGCAGAAGTTTAAAAGCAGGCAAATCAGATTGTATAAGAACATTGCGTGCTTTACTATGAGGTTTTTATAGATTCATTCATTTATTTTTAACAGCATTTTTTTTAATGTTGTTGCAGATTTTCCTAATTGTTTGATAAGAAAGACCAATTATAATCCCCACAACACCATACTTTGTTTCCCATAAAATATTTGACGAGTTAACCTGAAAATCATTTTCATTATCGTGACCAATGACGACCATTAAAACAAACCAATGTTTGCGTGGACTAGATTCAGTCCTATATACATAAATATCAGTTTTACGTTACTCAACAATGTGGTGTACGTACATCTGTTTACGGTAACATGACAAAGGAAGTTCACTTTTCAAATCTTAGTGTAAGAATGTAAAAGGGAACTCAATACATATATTAGCAGTCAAATATTATTATGTTCTATATTCTAATATTCAAGAAATGACAGATTAATTTAACTCACCTAATTGACATACATACCGCAACCCGGCTTCACAGTCACTGTTAAGCCATTTTCCATCGGAAGTTATAGATGCTCCACAGTAGTTATTATGAAGGCTGCTAATAGTTCGGGGATTATCGGTGGCCCTGACGAAGTAATACAAAAAAAATTGACGAAGTTTTCATTTTTGCCCAATTAAAATTTTCATCTTATCACTCGCTATATGCTTCTTGACCGAAACGTATAAAATTACTTACGTTTAAAAAGTAGCACTGAGATAATGTAAAACTTGCAACCGCCGAATATTTTTAAAACTTCACTGAACGATTGATTAAAACGTGCAGGACATTACATATGACATACGAAATACATTTATATATATATATATATATTTTTTTTTTTATTATTAATATTAAATTATTTTATAAATCTACACAATAGTACAAAATACAACGACTGAAAAAGTTAACTCAAAGTCACAAGTATAACTATTGCAATATTTATATAAATCTAAAACAAACTACAATATATAAAAGGTAAGTGTGTATATTGTTTCCCATTTTTCAAAATATCACTTTGTACAGATGGCGTTCAAATAAATACTCATTTAAAATAATATTTGAAGAAAAATTATCTGTAGCACGTGGAAACATATCGAATTAAAAGAAAACATATAATGGAATTACTAACCAATTGGTATATTTCAATGCAGCTATGTTGTTCCATTTTCACCCACTGTCATAATGCAAACCGATCCAAATATATTGTCTGGAAACAATTTTATGTTACAATTTTATCTGTCTATTTCTCAAATAATGTTGTTTTAACTGGAAGGTCAGAAAAGTATTAACAGCTGAATTTCGGTTTATGCATGTTTGATGAACACGTTATAACTCAATAATATATCAGTATAAAGTTCATATAAGATAATGATCAAAAGAAAAGAACTAAAATCAGTTTTGTTTTTACGACTGGAAAATCTTGCACTATATATATAATAACTAAAAATATATAATACTCCAAACAAGCGTTCGTACCTATTTAAAAATAACGTATTGCACTTTTGGATTTTTGAATATACATGCGACGGGCGTCATGATATTTAGTTGATGTTTTGGTATCTCAAACTGCGTATCAAATCATCAAACTATCTTATTTAATTAAACATTAACTAATTAAACATTACTTATTATTGGAATATGCATACGTTGTTAACTGTCTTACTGCAGCCTGAGTTTCTTCATCTTTTATTTCAACAAGCCATGCATTTCTTCCTTCACATATAGCCTTGGCAGCACCATACGATTTACCATCGTTAAATACTTCAAATTCATAGTCTCGAAAATTGATGTATCTGAACATATAGCAACCATTGTATTCAATATTTAATACGAGGGAAAAATATTTCAAAATATTGCTTTTGTTTGAACAAATACCTTTAATATCAGATGAACAAAGTATCTATCTATAACAACTGGGTGTTAACATGCCAATAGCTTGAATAACAAATATAAAAAAAATTATTTCTACCATACAGAAATAACCTTTCAATTATAAATATTTGAAGTTATTTAGCTGTTTTTTTGGTACTCCCGAAGTATGTGAACCAAGTTGGCAAACATCGGAACGCAGCATGCGTACCAGGTCAAAGTTAGGCCATTATTTCAGGTACAAATACTACGGGAGTCACTTGGCTAATCCCCGAACTCGTGATAGAACTAAAATATGGAAAACTTAAATAAAATTACGGCCTAACCGTAACCTGGTACACATACTACGTTCCGGTGTCCGCCATCCTGGTTCACATACTTCGTACAACTTTTTTACTTCTTACGTCGAAATAAACAAATATTTACGATTTGCTCATTCAGGAAATTCAGGCCCGTTTAGAAAATTCATTATCGTCGTAATAGATTCTTTTTGAGGTCTTATTCACTTCCCCAACGTAGTAAATTTTAAAATTGTTAGTAAGAAAAGGAGCTAAGCTTTGAACTTCTATGACAACTGCGTCATTGTAGAACACCAATACTCGTTCCATGTAAGGTACTCTATTGCAAGTCAGCTTTATGTTACCAAAGTAAATCATAAGATAGACTCTGCAACTACTACGAAAATATTTAAATGAATAAAATGCATATTACTAACCGCTTGGATCTTGCCCCTGAACGACGATATCAGAAACAAGGAGATGATGAAGTCAAATACTTTCATATCAATTCTATTATTATATAATTAGCCGCTTGTATTTAAATTCCTCATGCTGTCATGTAACAAGAAAGGTAGCTATAGTTAATAAAAATCGACACGAACCAAATGGTTATTTATACTTTATTGCTAGATGCGTAATATTTGACAATTTCTTGGAGAGATTTCTTGCCTCCATCTAGATCGGGGGTCTCAAACGTTTATCGGTAATTCAAATCGAAAACGTTTGTCAGTAAATCGAAATCGAAATTTCGCAATTTATTGTTAAAGATAAAATGGAATTACCCCCTTGTTGCCACATTTCGAAGATACCGTTGTCAAAATCTATTACCGCCGTTATTGCTTCTTTGGACAATTACAAAATTAGCTAAGTCAGTATTTAATTAAGTATAAGCGAATAGTTCGCTGAGTGTCTAGGTTTCTCTCGCGGATCCCTGAACCTTTGAGCTCTCCGTTTACTCTGTGTCTGTGGATTATCGTGGCTGTAAGAGACAATGTAGGTTTATTATTTAAAGTATATGTCACTGATTACAAGACAATAAATCCGAGTTCTAAGTTTTTTTGCTGAAATGTAATGAACGCATTTTTACATCATGCGAAATTTTTCGATATATAAAGAATATTAAATTATCACTCGGATGGCATTTCAAGAATCAGTTCGTAAAGACGCCCGCTTGCACAATATTTGCGTCATAGCTCGTTTTGAAGAATGAGCAATTTTTTTGTTTTTATTGTTAGCTACTTTCTTGCACAAGTGATTGATTTCATATGAAATGGAAGCCAAAACGACGTCTTTCAGCTGATTGTTATTGCAACTTTCAGTCGCTCTGCTGACATATTGTTATAACAGAGCTAAACCCTAACCGCTGTCTGACCGGGCATGTCGAGTCCATTCATTCTCTTTGTCATAATCTCTTCGTTTGCACTACCTGGCGCTTCACATTTCGTAAATTGAAGTAAAATATGTCACCTGCGGAGGTTTGTTTAACGAATAAATAAAACAATTGGATATTAGCAATTGACAGCTGTTCGCTCAATCGAGTTAATTCGTGTGAATAATACAAATGAATTCCAGTGGTGTCAAAAGATGATTCATGGGAAACAAATGTTCCAGTTAATTTCAAATTATTTATTCGACCCTTCGACTGTTTTTTTAATACCGCTATTAACGAAACCATGAACATGTCCTGATTAATTGTGATATATAAAGTACACTAATAACAAATACAAATCCTGTTTGATATCAAATATAATCATAAACATTCGCATTCTCTTCTTTCTCAAATACCTCTTGAAAATTCAAATTTCCTAAACGATATGTACTTCAACGAATTTGGTAATTTTATTTAAAAAAATGTAAAAGCTTTTGTATTTAAAATTTATCACACATAAATGAATATGAACTTATTGCTTATTGATCAAAAATATATCTAACCACTATCAACACACCTTGCAATATTAGGAAAAGTAAAAAAATATCATACCAAAAGGCGTTTTTTTTTAGATTTTTTTAAAATTAATATTAAATTATTCCCTGATTGTTATACAAATTAGGTCAGAATACATAATTTACTCAATTTGCATTTTATTTCATTATGTAAAATGCAAATTGAGTAAATTATGTATTCTGACCTTTACAACAATAATCAGAAGAAAAAAAGTGAACAAGTTGAAAGTATTCATACTACTTTTATTACCATATAATCTCCGTTCATTTTTTAAATTTTTATACTCTGGTATTAAATGAACATAGCATTATTCAGTGAAAATAATCGCCATCTTCGTGTTCATACATGCGCACATTTCTCTTATCTAAAACATAGCTTTTTATACATTTGATTAAATGACAATCGGAAGATCCAAATCGGAAAAGCTAGCTCACCCGGAAATAATTTTGAACTTCTAATCCTGTGATCGGTACAATTATTATTTCTGAAAATTTTGAATTAACGATAGAGAAACACTTTTTGCCATGGTGGTATTTCGCCCAAAAACAAACATTTTTACTGAACTGGAAACATACGATTGAATTTAAACTTGAATCAAGTCAATACCAATATACACGAAGCATTGTTTGTTTAGTAGGTAGTTTCTAACAAAATTTCAAATAACAAAAAATTTTCTTTTACTACAGTAATAAATTTTATTCAATTTTATTCAAACCACTCATTAAATGGGTTTATTTAAAATTTCAGGTATATTTTAAATACTCGCCGAAGTAAAATCAAATATTTGATCTTGCATTCCTATTCACAGTGTATCTTTAGAACGTGGTTAAAGAAATTTAGCAAGGAAAAACACGTAAGCAATAAATGCTTAATCTTTTACCATTTCCGTGTAAAACTAGCCCTGCAGAAAGAAGGAATTTCTGCTCCAGACTTTGGTACATAAACTTTTTATATAACTTGTACGGCCGTATGTAAACTATGAAGTCTCAGAAGCAGTCCTTGGCAATAAGCGGCAAAGAGAATAGTGCCTCTCGAAAATTACCTGATAATCTTTCAGTTTCAAAAATCTAATTTATATGACAATAATTCTAATTTCTTCTGACAATAATCAGAAGGAACAATGTCATCAAGTCAATAATATTCATAGTAATTCTGCCATTGTGTAAATGTCCTGTTTTAATTTTTTATACTGTAATACGACACGAAACGCAGCAATATTGAGCAAATCTAGTAGCAAATCTAATTTAATTTAATCTTATTTGTTAAATTACGTTTACTCTGCCTGTGTCTGTGTGAAGCAGTGTTAACTCTAAGCAAATTATGTGTGCGAAAGTGCTTCGCAGTCGAAAAAAAAAGTGCGAAAGTGCTTTTGCCGATTTTAACAAGTTAGGTGCCCTAGCCTTTCAGATTACCCACTTAAAACGGAATAGATACTCGAAAAAGCGCTCCTCCGGTTAATATCATGAATTAAAGAGAAGCCTTTTCGTTAACCGAGTTCCCTTTAAGCGAATTCATGTTTAATTAAAACCAGCGAATTCATCGGCAACGAAAAGACATCTGCTAACACTTGCCGCGAACAAAACTTTCATGCAATATATCACGGTGTCAGTTGCTTACTCGCGTAAACAGCAAAGACTTTCACATTTGTTACTCCTTCCATCTAACAGACACCAGGCAGGCTGGAAACCATATTAGTTACAGGGTGGATCGTATGTACAAATCCTGTGCAAAATAACCCCCCCCCCCCCCCAAATATAAATAGCAATCAACTAATTAGGGTTAGGTGCGTTGGAAATTCAACTTTTCGATTTATCCCTAAACCTAATCTGATAATTATTAATTTGTGATTTTGAACCACTTTGAAAGTCGCCACCCGCTGTTTTAAAAGATAGGTTAACCTACGTTCCCTCAGAAATATTACGCAGGATACTCCCCTGTTTTAGGAGATAGGTTGACCTACTCTCCTTTCAAACTTTTTTCTCCGAAATATTACACAAGATCACTTTGAAAATCCTCCCGTTTCGTGAGCTAGCGTGACCTAATTTCTCATTTACATTTATATTATACTATTTCAGAGGCTTACCAAAGACAAGTAATTTTTAAATGTCGACATGCCTTGGTTTGTGTGCGAGTTAGTTTAAATCGGACAGAAAACATCATATATTGGCAAAATGTTTAGTAATGTCATGTACTTTCAGCATTCATAAATAGCACTCTTTGTAATGCTGCTGACCTAGTATCAAATATTCGCATCATAACGCCACTTGCGAGGTTTCCATATATTTCAATTACACTAATAGGAACGATGACACCAAAGAGTTTTCTTTTGCGAAGGTAGGGAGGGTGATTCTTGAGAAAAAACATGAATATAAAAATTAAACGAATGATATGATAGTGGATCCCAAATAATTTTGAGAGTGTCTCGAAATACCAATTCATTTGGTAAATAATTTTTATTCGACCACATGAACGCTGATATCCTGAAAATTAATGTTGAAAGAGAATTACGCATTCTCAGATATCGGACATCCAGTCGCGATATTCAATCGTTCATATGCACAAATCTCACATTAATAGTAATTGCTACCATAGGCGTAGCCAGGGGGGGGGCCAGAGGGGCCATGGCCCCCCCCCAAAATTTTCAAGAATTCCATTCCTAATCCACCAGTTTTGTGGCATCTTGTCTCGTCACGCTT